CCATAAAACGAAATGAATTTTCATGGAATTGATGAATTTTAAATGAGAATATTTGTTCGGTTATAAGCATATGCATTTTCATACAAATTTATCTTTCAGCAAATATATTTTCTCACCTCTACAGTTGTAGCACTTTCCAAATACCGTTGATGCCAATCACGCACCCATCTCACTTGTTCGTCATTCAGAGCATGCAGACGAGCTAAATTATTGAGCGATGGTTTCGCAAACTGTGCCACATCTCCGCCAACAATGCGGGTGGACAGACAATGGAGGCTGCGAAGTGCAGCCAGAGCTGCCGACTGGTTAATATGATTGGTAGGTGGTTGGGAAAAAGTGTCATTCATGAAAAGGAATGGACTGTTGCATCTGCACAGGTTATGACTACAGGTAAACTCAGCGGCAGTCGATCCTTGGTAGTCAGAAAATGCTGCCAAAGTGAAGAGTAGAGCTGTGTGGTATGCTAACCAGGAAGCGTTTGGATTATCTGATGATAGTAGGTGAAACGCGGTCTTGCCCTAAAGAGATAGTTTTTATCAGGTAAAATATTAAACAAATAAATAAATAAATATATATATATATATATACATAAGCGAACGATATATACTAAGCATGTAGGGTAGTACAAAGGTCAAAGAGTATGCATGTTTGAATATACTGTAAAGTCGTAAAAGGCTGCATGCAAAATTGAATTTGGTTTATCAACGCATATAGTAACGAGCTAACCATATTTTTCCTGTTAATATTCCCCCAAAAATAAAATAAAAATGGTTGTCGCAAGGCCTTTTTCGGGATGGCGCTTAATTAGAAGCTAGAGCTTTTCGCTATTATTGCGCAACTGTGAAATCAAACGAAATGGAATGACTTTGACAAACAAGAATGTGATAGCATTTACTCGTAATACATAGTCCTTGGTATAATATTATTAAAGTCTGTAAGGCATAATATGCCATTGCTAGCTTAGGCTTTGTTTAAAAAAATTTGCAAGACATGCTCGTATCAATATTTTACACCACAAAGGTGCAATTTTTTGACCAAGAGTGTCTATTGATAGCTCTCAAAGAAAGCCTAATTCGCTTAAGAAGCACGTAAATTATTTTATTATGATCTTCTTTATGTTTGTACATGACATTGTCCTTTAACTTCTAGCTCAAAGTATTTGTATGGCTTCTGCTTTTCCTTTCCAGAATGCCTACAATTGTAGTTTTAGTTGCTTTCTTTTACAATAATGCCATCTTATCTCCCTTACGTAAAATATTAACCTATTTTGTCTTTTCAAAAGTTTTTTGTATTAAATAACATTGACCGCCCTTGCATTTAAAAAAGGATAGCAGATAACTTTCGAGGATTTTCAACTCAAAGCTGTATTAAATTTTCCCTATCCTGCCACTTTAAAATTAAGCTTTTTCTTCATTAATTGACAATACAAATTTTAACAAAATTTTGCCCGTTTTCTTTATTTCGTCAAATGTCTCTTACGTTTCTCTTTTTAGGTTCGATAATATTTACATAATTTGGTTTAACCCATGCACCACAATGTTGAGCTATCCCCAAAAAGGCCTATACGTGTATTAACTTAAGTAAAATACGGATATTAATTGCAAGAGTAAAAAAATTAGTTTATTCATTTGTTAATTCGGCCATACTCACGTAAAGCTTATATAAGTATAGGAATCTAACATTGCTAATTTTGTCTATTAAGCCAATTTTATTGGTGATAGCTGATTTTTAGACAAAATTCTGTTGTTGTCGGTCGAAATTGCAGTCCACTCTGAATGAGAACAACTTTTGGGAAAGCAAGGCTATGTGAAATTCAATGGAAACGTCAGCTCAACTCATATCGATTATGAGAAAATTCTTCTTCTACCAGTCCTTCATCACTTTAAACGAAATATGGTGAATACATCTCGTATTATCTTTCAAATGTGACTTTAGAACTGAGCTTATACATATATCATATGAATTTAAACGCATGACAGAAGAAAATGTCTGAGGATATCGTACACGCCGTACGTTCATACGAATATATTGGCATTGCCACAGCCTACCTGTCTATTTCGATCTGCTAGACAAGCATTATTCGTCCACTCACAAAGTGCCAAGCAGATTGCAGCAATCTCCGTTGATGGAATCGAAGACCCAGATTCAGACTTCTTCTGAGATATAAGGTAAGGTAGACTCAGGTTGTTTTAAAGATCACCGTTGCATAAAATAATATGATATAAAAACAAATTGTGGGAAAAATTAACTACCAGTTCTTCATCACCTTAAACGAAATAGGGTGAACACAATTCAAATATATGATTTAAGGATAGTCTCGATAACCTACTCATTTACAAGGAAATAAGAACTGTCTGACTAAATGGATATTTAGTGAATTGCAGAAACTATAATTCAAACGAAATCGTCTACTCTGAGAGTCATCTTTATTTGTTCTTTATAAATATAAATGCGATCATTTCATTGAGATAATAACTAGCTTTGACCATCAATATCAAGAGTATGTATACAAGTAGTCTGAACTCGTTTTTTCCACTTGGTTGTGTTGTCAAGGCGACTCAGTTGGACATACCTCTTCCGATGTCCTCTGCCATAATAGTTAT